CATAAACTTTTGGGATTGACTGTATAGCCAATACATCCTTAATTGGACCAGGGATTGAAACAGCAATTTAAGGAATTTGCGAAATCGTTCGGTTGCCTCATTGCGGAAGTGGATGTACATTTTTCTCTTAGCCCTGTTCGGTGTTTTATATGCACGTGCCTTTAAATCCGATTGCTTGGCATGGATCCCAAAAGGTCGACCATTCAGACGTGCTGCGCGTCAATAAGGAGTGAATTCTGCGCCATCGCCACGTTTCTTATGATCACCAAATCTTGGCAAGACGGCTACGTGTCGCAGAAAATCGTGGAATAATAAAGGAAAACCGATTCCTCTGATTTGGCATAAATACGGAGAGCGCATTTATTGTAAAAATAGATGCGTTTCTGGGTGCCACGATGGGCAATAAGACAGACATTATTAGTAGGAAGGAACTGCTGTTTCACAAGATAATAGGAAGGAAAATAGAGGTCAGAAAGAAAGGACCCAGAAAATTGATGAATAACGTCGGTGCGTCATGAGATTGTCATCAGTATCTCCTTTATTAATGGTTCGAGGGACAACAACCCCCGCAGTTTTACGACTCTTCTTATATCTATAGTGCATCAAATTTCAATATTGGGACTGCCGATCCCAGCGTGGGCCGTAAGTTATCATTTCAAATCGCTTAGCCACAATAGGACTCACTGCTATGCTTCGTGTACAGCTACGTAGATTGTCTTAACTGTCCTTGGAAACTACGTTTATGCACATCTGTGTTTTAATAATGCACGAAATTATGTACGTAAAGTTAGGTGAGAGATCATTCTATGTATAGTGACACTGAAGATATACAATATTCTAGAACTTGTCTTCTACGTGCCATAAGATAATGAAATAGTCGTCGAACTTGCAAATATGAAATATTATATTCTAGACAACTTTTTGTCGAAGTTGCGTATCAGAATTTTACATTCCACAGTTAATATAATATTCTTCTGCTGGCAGATGTAAAAAGAAATCAATAGAAACGAAGAGAAATGTGTATATGAATAAAAAATGATTTAAACCGACCGGGAACAGTAAGACGAATCGCAAGATTGTCACACGTTTGCTTTACCGATTACGATGCCTGACCCAACAAAACGAAAAAGTTAGTGACTTGAAAAGGATCGACTTTCTTATCGATAGCGGACATCGAACATGCGCGCGATATTCAACGATTCGTGAATAACAACTCGGCTTTCGAAGATTCCCAGATTACGAAGCGACGCGCTGTCGCTTCGTCCGCTGAATAAAACACGACGAAATGTATTTTGTATCAGGCTGGATGTTAAATGTTAATACTAAGTGAGAATGAAAGAATATCCTGACGATCTAAGTTATCGCTATTTACATAGATGACTTAGCGATAAACCTAATCTATGGGCTAAACCTAATCCCCTGCAAATCTATGTAATCTTACTCATACTGACCGTCGTGTTTCTAACTACCCTGTTTTCACTATTTGCCCTTAAGTACTCATACGGACTCAGGTAAATTCTTTCGGTCGAAACATCCCGATTTCTGTTCACTTATCCTTGACCACGTGCAGGGGAACTCGTCTAGGTTTATATCCAGACGGCAATTTGCATTGAACCTTGTTTTATGGAGGAGCCATGCCGGGAACCGTAATGCTTTCACGCGTCTTTGAACGATGGTTAAACGACCGTATGAGAAGGGTGATCCGAAGTCTTTCATGGACCGTAATTAACTGGCTTTTGAAACACGTGCAGGGCTGTGGATCTCGGATATACCGGGTGCGACGAGGTGAACTATACGAACG